GACTGTACACGTGTTTGCAAGCAAAGAAGTAATTCTGTGCGCGGGTGCTATCGGATCGCCGCAATTGTTGATGCTATCCGGTATTGGACCAGCAAAACACCTAACTGAATTGAACATTAACGTCATTCACAACGCACCAGTTGGCGAAAACCTTATGGACCATGCAGCCTTCTTTGGCATGACGTGGACAATAAACAGACCGATAGATATAAAAGATTATATAATAATGAATCCCATTAATTCATACGTGACAGAATATTTAATAAATCGAACCGGACCTTTTACGATTCCGGGAGCGGTTGAGGCTCTCGGTTTTGTCAACACAAAAAATCCAGAAAAACGTAACGATTTACCAGATATCGAATTACTTTTTCTTAGTGTAACATTGAAAGATATATTTTCACCGAGGCTATTCAATTTGAAGGACTCAGTATATCAGGAATGGGTCAAGTACGGTAACGTTAATGGCTGGACTGTTGTGCCAATATTGTTGAAACCAAAAAGTCGTGGTAGATTAACGTTGTTAGCTAACGACGTTAATATTAAACCAGAAATCGTACCGAACTATTATGATGATCCAGACGACGTCAGGACAATGATAGCCGGCATTAGAACTGCGTTAAGAGTTGGTCGAACAAAGGCAATGCGTGCGTTCGATTCTCAATTATTAAATATTACTTACATAGAATGCAAAAATTACGAGTATGATTCCGATGCTTATTGGGAATGCATGATAAGGCTATTATCTTCCACACTCTATCACGCTTCCGGCACTTGTAAAATGGGATCTCGTGAAGACCCGACTGCTGTCGTGGATCCCAAATTAAAGGTATTTTCTTGAGAAAACGCAGTAGAGTATTTAAGCAAAATATAGTAAACAGTATAACATATGTTTTTATGAGTTAATTCATATATAATATTTTGTATAGGTGATCGGTGTTCAGGGATTACGAGTAGTAGATGCATCTATCATGCCCGAAATTATATCAGCGCATACAAATATACCTGTTTATATGATTGCCGAGAAAGCCGCTGATATGATAAAAAAAGAATGGAATTTCTTGGAAAAATCATAATAATAATAATAATAAACTTTTATGAGAGAAGTAATACATCATATTATTATATTTTAACTAGCACTTTGTCATGACGACAATTCTAAGTGCATATGTGGCATTTGCTGAATGTTTTTTAAAAGCAATTATATTTAAATAGAAAATAAAGTATTAATTAATTTATATTTTATATGTGAAATGTATCTATATATGTAGAAGGAAGTATTCAAGAACACACAAAAATATTAATTCTGATGTTGTAAATTTTGAATTTGGCAAATTAATAAAAAACTTTTTTAAAGAAATAAAATATAACATTGCAAATAAGCGTATATAATGTACATACTTGTATAATGTAAAAATGTTTTCGAAACAAATAATGAAATATATTAAAGGAAAACCATCATAAACCTCAATTATTCAAACCACATATAAAAGGCTTTTAAAATCTGATTGAGCTTCAATATTGTTCATTGTCTGCAATTTAATTAACTGTATTTTGCGTATTTTACATATGGAATAGCTGTCATATAATACTAAATACTTACATTTTTATAGTTTCGATAAATATCAGTGTTAATATAATAATGAGCAATTTTTAATTATAAACGAATTTGATATTAATTCATTTAACGATACACATATAGCACGCACGGCTATATGTATGTAAAAATAAGATTAAATAGCTTATTATATTATCCTTTTGTTCAAACAGGAAAAATCTGCGACACAGAATATTAAGTCATATGCAATTGTATCTGTATTACGTAGAAGAATACTAAAAATTATTTCGTCAAGAAATTTAGAAAGATATTTTAGAAAGACATACAAAAGATATTTTACATAGGTTTTATCAAAAATATTATTTTAACAAATAAAAATTGTCCAAAAATAAATATGAGATCATACAAGTTGCCAAGTATTTGATTAGACACAAAAAAATTTTTTAATAAACCGTTTAACCATCCAAAAGTATATGCCGCAAAAGTTTAATGCCATTATCTTTTCAAATATTTTTAAGTTTCATAAAACAGGCTTAATGTGATTAAAATGACCAATGGGATCATAATGAAAAACTTGGCGTGCCCGCATTTTATATACATCTTATTAATTAAATATTAATGCAATCCAAGCAGACAAATTTTTGCTTCACTATGATCCCATTGGTCATTTTAATCACTTTAAGCCTGTTTTACGGAACTTAAAAATATTTGGAAAAACAATGGCATTAAACTTTTTCAGCATATATTCTTGGATGGTTAAACAGTTTATTAAAAAAATATTTTTATTTCTATGGCTAATCAAATACTTGTACGATCTCATATTTATTTTTGGACAATTTTTATTTGTTAAAATAATTTTTGGTTTAGGAAAGATGTAACGTACGATACTTTTTTTTATATTTGGCGTACTCTTTTTCTTTTTGTAAAAAAGAGTTTTGATAGGATAGTCCTTACACAGAATAACGGAAAAAGTAACAATAACGGAAATATTTGCAAACCTTTGTATTGTATTTATTTAATTAACAGATATGAAATTGTTACTTTCTAAGAAGCGAGAATTATTTACGTCACGTCATAAAACATTAAACATTTCTTAATGTAATGAATTTTCAAATTCTTGTATTTTTATTATTGATATTTTATGTACACCGCGAATGTGTGATTTGGTAACAATTACACGTCAATCGCTAATGCTAGATTCAGCAATCGATTAGCAGTACCCAGGGCCGCGTAATTGAAAAGAATAACCACTCGCAAAACTTTAAAATAAAAAAATTCTCTTATAATTTGTAAAATAAATTCGTTATATCATACATCGTTAAAAAGAATGCTACAACTTTTATCATATCGAAATTACTTTGCAAAAGTTAAGTATGTCTCTGAAGAGCACAC